AACTGGTCCAAACTTTATTCTTTATAGAGATCCATTCAAAACGCAACATATATATATTGCACAAAAACAAGCTCAGAATAAAATTATGAACATCAACTTTATTTCTGTAGAAAATCCAAATAATACAAATATCTGGAAAAATTAAAAATAAAGAAGACACAAAACATAAATGAGACTCCCACTAAACTAAGGTACTATAAGGAATTACACCCATATGAGCAGTGTGCTCATGAAAGACTTTAGGCACCAAACCCTTAGTAAGTGGATCAGCTAGCATAAAATTAGTCCCTATATGTTCTATAGAAATTTGCTTATTCTGAACTCTTTCCTTAACAACCAGAAACTTTATATCAATGAATTTTGACTTGGTTGTACTCCTATTGTTATTGGAATAAAGAACTGCAGAGTTATTATCACAATAGATTTTCAATGGCCTTTCAATGCCATTAACCACACGTAAATTAGTGATAAAATTTCGCAGCCATATCCCATGGTTGGATGCCTCAAAACAAGCAATGAACTCCGCAGCCATGGTTGATGAAGCTATAATAGTCTGTTTAACAGACTTCCAAGAGATAGCTCCTCCAACCAACATAAAGATGTATCCAGATGTGGAGCGTTTACTGTCTTGACATCCGGCAAAATTAGAGTCTGAGTATCCAATGATCTCTAAACTGTCAGACTTCTGATAAGTGAGCATATATCCTTTTGTTCTCTTCAAATAGCGCATTACACGCTTTACTGCTTTCAAATGCTGCATCCCAGGATTACTTAAGTATCTGCCAAAACTCCCACTATAAATGCAATATCAGGATGAGTACAAACTTGAGCATACATTAGACTTTCCTCAGCTAAAGCATAGGGAATCTTTTGCATCTCATTTCTTTCATGCTACGCATCCCAAGTTCTATTTCAGTTGAACTTTGCACCAATGAGCCGTGCACTCTTTTCCCGCCTCAGTCTTTGGCTGAGAGGGTTTTTAACGAGGCACACATTTTCATCAAAGTTCTTCCAATCTATATGCTCCATTTTCCAAGTCTTCTGTGACTCGGAAATGGCCGCCCCAAGTAGGTGCGAGTTTCCCATCTGACATGTCTTTCCGTGCTTCTCCTAATAGTCGCCATACCAGGTCGCCTGCTCGGAAGGAGCGGGGTTTCACCCGGGAATTATATCGCCGGGAAGCTCGGAGCTTGCAGGCCTCTTCATGGATTTGGGCTTCGTCTCTAAGTTCGTCCACCAAGTCTTTAATTACGACCTCTTTAAGCTAGAAAAACCCTTCTGAAATCTAATATCAAATCTTTGAAGAACAATTCTTTTATGAACACAGTCTGTCCACACAACCAATCAAAACTTCAAGATGCATTAAAACGATTATAATCTCTATTGAAGTTTGTGCTGATGTTATTTGAGTAATACAAGAAATTAATGCCTGTAGTTACAAGCGTTAGTTAATTTAATCTCTAAAATTACATCATTTTGATCCCTAAATTACCAAATGACAGTCATTCTAGTCCTTAATTTTGTAGAGACTATAAAATGATTTTTTTTTTCGCTAATGACTCACATTTGTCTGCAATTTGGTACAACATCAAGGATTGCGGCAAAATCGCAACCATGCTTGGCGACAGTTATGCTTATGGCAGGCCTGGCTAGACATGAGCCAAACCTAACTGGCTAGGGCTTTGCTCACTGAGAAATAGAACTCATTTAATTTCTTGCCTCAATCTATGTACTAATTGAGAATGTTAGAATCAATGAATTAGGTAATTAGGCCTGAATTTGAAACTCAATAAAATACATGACAAACATTTATTCGAGATTGCGCATTCAATAAAAAGCATAAATCACTCTATAAAATACATAACTCAATGAATTAGACCCTTTCACGTCAATCAATACTCAGTTCACTACTCAAAAACTACAAAGACAGATTCCAAAGAGGGATTTCAGATTTCCTAGAGCACTCTAATCTAAAGTTTTCACTTCTGAGTCGCGGTCACACACGATATGAAAACAAGGTTGGAAGGGAAAATGGTAAACAATTTGGATCGAATTCTGCGTATGTGGATTGTTAAATATGATGCAAAATTTGGAAATAAAATCCTAAGGGAGCAGAGGAGATAAATAAGGTGTGACAGAAACATACTCGAGATCGAAGGAGAAGCGCAGGGTTCGGTGTTGAGAAGCGGAGGGCGAGGAGAAGAATATTGGGATTACTTGTTACTCAATGTTCATATTCATTCACTTCAAGGACTCTCCATTTATTTTTTTATACTTTTATAATTTCGTTTTTAACTTGTTATTCATACAGCCGACTTCTCAGTGTTATAATAGATACTAGACAAGAAAGATGAAAAGAAATAAATAAATAGGACTTATTATTTTTCAATTTTTTCCCCTCTTATTTTTTTTTGTCAAATAATTTTACTTATTTTCACTCTCGTATTTTCACTCTTTTAAACTTAATTCTTACTCATTTGCTCTTAACCAAATAAAGCATTAATGAAATTTCCTTTCCCAATAATGTTTTTTTTTTAGATCTTATCAAAGAGATTGGCTCCAATGCCAATTGAACTAACTACTTGTTTATACTATTAGAATTTAAATTAAAATAAATTTAAATATATTTTTAATCTTTTAAATTTAAGTAAATTTGTTTTTGATAACTCAAATTTAAAATTATTTTTTTATCTTTGTAATTTTTAAAATATTGTTTTAACCTCTCAAACTATTAATAATTGTGAGACCCCGGTTATTCTTTTCCTTTTCTTCCCCGAAGACTCAACTCCCTTTCACTCTCAAAACTCTCTCATTCACTCCTTCTTCTCACATTTCTGATTCACTCTCTTTGCTCGACTTCAAGGTGCTGAGTAGGTGATTTTCTTCCGGAACCGTGCCGTGCGAAGCTTCTCATTCTTCCACTTCTCTTCTCCATATCTTCCTCTTCCCAGAGCTCGGAATCTTTGCCCGAGGTAAGGGAAGTTAGTCTTCTTGTTGTGGATTTGGCTGAAATGAGTCTAAGAACTCATGCGGTTGCGTGTGATTGCGGATTCTTGGCTGTTTGGGTGATACATTGAGTTTTAGGGGACATTGGGGTTTTGAGAAAATTCTTGGTTTTTTTTATTGTAGATGCATGTGTAAAAAGAGGTTGTTTTTGAACTCTTGGATGAAAATGTGGTACTTTGGTTGGATTGCATGTGCTGGAAAGTGGGTTTTTGCAGGTTTAGGAAAATTTTCGAACTTGGTACGGTTGCTGCTGAGCTTCGCGCTGAGCGCTGTTCATCGCGCTGGGCGCGTGGCCCCCAGGGGACCCCATTTGACCAAGCTCGCCGGGCGCAATGATAGGTGCTCTGGGCGTGCTTGAGAATGTGGGTCTCTGGCTGGCCCGCGCTGGGCGTGACTTGGACCGCGCTGGGAGCGATACTAGTTGTAGCATGATTTTGGGTTCCTGACTCTATGCTGAGCGCGGCCCTTGTCGCGCTGGGCGTGAGACTCCTTGGGAGTTTCTGCCTTGTAGGCGCTGGGCGCGTGAGGCTCCATGGAGTCTCTGCCTGGCATGCGCTGGGTGCAATGGGTATTGCACCAGGTGCGGGTAAGCCTTAGGCTCTCTGGCTGAGTCCCGCCGGGCGCAGGCATGCTTGCGCTAGGCGTGCTGGCCCCCTGGTGCTCTCTGGTTGCATTGCGCCGGGCGCAACCACGAGTGCGCCGAGCGCGGAGATGAGATTTGAGTATATGTTGGTTAATGTTGTTTTATGCTGAGTTGAGTTGAAATGGATGAATATAATGTGATGACTAGTAGATAATGTTGGTTGATTGATGTTGAGTTGTAAAATTGTGTTGTGTTGTAAGTTGATATGTTGAGTTGTAAAGTTGAGTTGTGTTGTAAGTTGATATGTTGAGTTGTAAAGTTGTGTTGTGTTGTAAGTTGATATGTTGAGTTGTAAAGTTGAGTTGTGTTGTAAGTTGATATGTTGAGTTGTAAAGTTGTGTTGTGTTGTAAGTTGATATGTTGAGTTGTAAAGTTGAGTTGTGTTGTAAGTTGATATGTTGAGTTGTAAAGTTGTGTTGTGTTGTAAGTTGATATGTTGAGTTGTAAAGTTGAGTTGTGTTGTAAGTTGATATGTTGAGTTGTAAAAGTTGTGTTGTGTTGTATGTTGATATGAGTTGTTGTAGGCCATAAGGGCTGAGTTGTTGTAGGCCATAAGGGCTGAGTTGTTGTAGGCCATAACGGCTGAGTTGTTGTAGGAGATCTCCGAGATGATATGCGTGACGATGCATTATTTGCTAATTGCTGGTTTGTTGTGTAACGATGAGATGTAGACTGACGATGTGTTGATAGTTGAAGTTGTTTCTGATTACTTAAATCTTGCTATACGTTGTCTTTTTATACTAGCTTACCCTTTGTTGTTTCCATGTGGTTGGACTGCTATGATCGTACTATGTACGGGAGCAGAGCAGGGATAGGTGTGTGGCTTGTGGTGAGTCTGCAGCTGGCAGGCGGAGCTGATCTTAGTTGTTGTTGTATTGTTTCAGCTACTTGGTGTAGTGATTGATGATGTATTTTGTTTGGTTTGGTTGTTTTGGCACACTCTAACTCCGGTCGGATTGAGACTTTGTATATATTTATATTCTAGATCCTATATTTATATACTCGTTCTTTCTGTCTGGTATTTTCAGTGTACAGAGGCGTGTGTAGTGACCAGTCAGGTCGTTACACTTTAGTGGTATCAGAGCAGTTCGAGTCTAGTGGACACTCTGTAGGGGTGGTTCCTTTAGGCTTTTGTTGTGTTGAACTCTGAGTTGTGTTGTCTTGGTGTGTTGTTTGTTGTGCTGATTGTTGTGGTGTTGTGCTGTGTTGTTGAATTGTTGTTTGGTTTAGATATTGTATACTAAAGATGTTGTTGCTTTTGTAGACAATGTCTAGAGCCAACGAACAGATAGCTCGGGCCATGGAGATGATGGCCATGGCTATGCAACAGTAAAAGGCCTATTTTGCTCGGATGGATGCTGAGAGAGCTGCAGCTGGTACAGCAAGGCCCACTGGGGCACAGGGGAGCCGGGACCTGGCTGAGGTGCGGAAGTGCCATCCTCCTCAATTCAAGGGAGATGCAGATCCAGAGGTGGTTGACCCCTGGATTTGTGAGCTTGAGAAGGTCTTCACCATGCTGGGATGTTCTCAAGAGAGGAGGCTAGCATACGCGGTGTACATGCTTGTTGGGGAAGCCGAGCATTGGTGGAGGGGCACCCATCATATGCTAACTACCAGAGGGGTGGTTGTTGACTGGGAATGTTTCAAAAGGATGTTCTTGGAGAAATATTTTCCTGAGTGTGTGAGACATGCCAAGGAAGCTAAGTTCATGCGCTTACACCAAGGAGGGATGACCGTTTCCGAGTATGCGATGAAATTCGAGCACCTAGCTCGTTTTTATTCGCAAGGTATAGCCGAGGCCTGGAAGTGTCAGAAGTTTGCTGAGGGACTGAAGTATGATCTGAAGAGGGTGGTGGTGCCAATGGCCATCACGGAGTTTCCAACCTTAGTGGAGAAGGCGAAGGTGGTTGAGCGGTTGGAGGGTGGTAACCGCGGGGTGAAGACTGCTGAGGGGCCATCCGGGTCCAAGAAAGGAGGGAACCAAAGGAAGCCGTATGATAGGCCCCAACCGCAACAAGGAGGTCCTGTCATCAGGCAACCTTCTGGTGCTGCTAGTGGAGGAGGACAGGGTGGAGGTGCTGTCCTTAGATGTTACAGGTGTGGTGGGCCCCATATTATCAGGGATTGTCCCCACACAGAGAACCGGTGTTTCAGGTGCCAGCAGATGGGCCATGTGTCTTTCAACTGCCCCACCAGAAACAGACCGGAGAGGAGTGCTCAGAGGAGTGTTGCACAGAGAGGTGATGCCCAGAGGGGTGACAAACCCACCACAGCTGGTAGGGTCTTTGCTTTGACAGGTGCTGAGGCTTCGACTTCTTCTGATCTTGTGAAGGGGAAGGGCAGAGCTGCTGATAAGGATGTGGTGTTTTTGTTTGATTCTGGAGCTTCTCACTCCTTTATCTCTTAAGCTTGTGTTGCTATGCTGGGTGTACCTATATGTGATTTGGGGTTGAGACTGTTAGTGTTGACGCCCGCTTCTACTTCTATAGTTGCTTCTGAGTTGTGTGCTGGTTGCCCTATTGTTGTGAATGAGAAAAAGTATAAGGTAAACTTGATTTGTTTGCCTTTAGTTGATATTGACATAATCTTAGGAATGGATTGGTTATCTGCCAATCGTATCCTAATAGATTATGCCAATAGGCGATCGATCTTTCCTCAGGAGGAGGATGAGTTGTTGATTTTAGCTAGCCAAGCTGAATCATTGTTCAGGGATGGAGCAGAGTGTTGTCTTCTGCTTGCTGCTATGAGTGTGGAGACTGAGAGAGTCATTGCGGAGATTGATGTGGTACGAGATTTTACTGAGGTGTTCCTGGATGAAGTGCCTGGGTTGCCTCCTACTAGGGAGATGGAGTTTAGCATTGACATGGTTCTAGGTGCGGGGCCTGTGTCGGTGGCTCCCTATAGGATGGCTCCTGCTGAGGTAGTTGAGTTGAAGGGTCAGTTGGAGGACCTATTGGAGAAGCAGTTGGGGCGGCCGAGCGTTTCGCCGTGGGGTGCTCTTGTGTTGTTGGTGAAGAAGAAGGATGGAGGTAGTCGACTTTGTGTAGATTACCGATAGTTGAATAAGTTGACCGTTAAGAACAAATATCCACTGCCACGGATAAATGACTTAATGGATCAGCATAAAGGAGCATCCGTTTTCTCGAAGATTGACTTGAGGTCGGGCTATCACCAGATTAGGGTGAAGGAGGGTGACATACCGAAGACTGCTTTCAGGACTAGGTATGGTCACTACGAGTATGTCGTGATCCCGTTTGGTGTGACCAACGCCCCTGCAGTGTTCATGGATTACATGATCAGGATCTTCCGGCCGTTCTTGGATAAATTCGTGGTGGTATTCATTGATGATATCTTGATTTATTCAAGGACCCGGGAAGAGCATGGAGAGCACTTGAGGATGGTGCTAGAAATTTTGAAGGCGAAGCAGCTGTATGCTAAGCTTTCAAAATGTGAGATTTGGTTGGATGAAGTGAAGTTCTTGGGCCACCTGATTTCAGCTGAGGGGATTACCGTTGATCCGGCTAAGGTGGAGTCGGTGTTACAGTGGGAGCGTCCGAGGACTGTCACTGACATTCAGAGTTTTGTGGGTTTGGCGGGTTACTATCGACGATTTATTGAGGGATTCTCCAAGATAGTAGCGCCTCTGACCCAGTTGACAAGGAAGAAGCAGCCGTTCATTTGGACAAATGCATGTGAGCGTAGTTTTGAGGAGTTGAAGAGGAGGTTGACTACTTCGCCTGTGTTGGTGTTGCTGGATTCTGGTGAGCCTTTTGATGTGTATTGTGATGCCTCTCACAGGGATTAAAAAGAGTGATTTTAAATTTGAAGAATTAAAAACAAATTTACCTTAATTCTGAGGACTAGAAACCATTAAAATATACAAATTATGCAATAATCAATCTCCTTTGCATATTTGAGTATAATTCTTGAAAGTTATAATCATTTATAACATGAGTTAGTGGAGAATTATGAGTAATATGATGTTATCCAAATAAAGCATTAATGTAATTTCCTTTCCCAAATAATGTTTTTTTTTTAGATCTTATCAAAGAGATTGGCTCCAATGCCAATTGGACTAACTACTTGTTTATACTATTAGAATTTAAATATAAATATATTTAAGAGAAAGTTTGTTGGAGTACAAATAAGATTACAAATAAGAGAAAGTTTATACTATTAGAAAAAAAATTATTGAAGGGGTTAAATCATGATCTTTTATTTAAGAGAAAGTTTGTTGGAGTACAGATAAGATTACATATCTTTAGATCATGGAAAGAAATAAAGATTTATAAACACACATAATTTTTCATTGATACGAGGTCTTTAAAGAAATGATAAAAAATTATGAAAATTTAATTTCAAAATAAACAATATTATAATAATATAGAGACATGTATATAAATTTCGCACAATCAATCAAATACCACCAAACAGTTTTACATTTTCAATCATTCAAATGTAATCATTAAAATGACTTTTTACTTATTAATTATAAAATTTAACAATTTACCATAAATGATAACTTGTAATCGAAGATTGTATAAAATTATTTTTATTTTGGCTTAATTGCAGTTTTGATCCCTCAAGTATTACAATTGTGCAATTTTGATCCCTAAGATTTTAATTGGGTAATTTTAGTCACTAAAGGATTGAAGTTGTGCAATTTTAGTCCTTCAATTTTTAATTGAACAAATTTAGTCCCTCAAATATCAACAATATAGATAAATAATTATGTTGATCTAAGTGTGAATTAATGATTTTTATGTGAGGATGAACATTTTTTCTCTAATTTTGGATATATTAATTATATATGTTGATACCTTTATGGTATGATGATATTAGTGATATGAGTTTTTTGAGTATAATTCTTGAAAGTTATAATCATTTATAACATGAGTTAGTGGAGAATTATGAGTAATATGATGTTATCCAAATAAAGCATTAATGTAATTTCCTTTCCCAAATAATGTTTTTTTTTTAGATCTTATCAAAGAGATTGGCTCCAATGCCAATTGGACTAACTACTTGTTTATACTATTAGAATTTAAATATAAATATATTTAAGAGAAAGTTTGTTGGAGTACAAATAAGATTACAAATAAGAGAAAGTTTATACTATTAGAAAAAAAATTATTGAAGGGGTTAAATCATGATCTTTTATTTAAGAGAAAGTTTGTTGGAGTACAGATAAGATTACATATCTTTAGATCATGGAAAGAAATAAAGATTTATAAACACACATAATTTTTCATTGATACGAGGTCTTTAAAGAAATGATAAAAAATTATGAAAATTTAATTTCAAAATAAACAATATTATAATAATATAGAGACATGTATATAAATTTCGCACAATCAATCAAATACCACCAAACAGTTTTACATTTTCAATCATTCAAATGTAATCATTAAAATGACTTTTTACTTATTAATTATAAAATTTAACAATTTACCATAAATGATAACTTGTAATCGAAGATTGTATAAAATTATTTTTATTTTGGCTTAATTGCAGTTTTGATCCCTCAAGTATTACAATTGTGCAATTTTGATCCCTAAGATTTTAATTGGGTAATTTTAGTCACTAAAGGATATTGAAGATGATTGAGGAGAGAATGAAGACTGCTCAGAATAGGCAGAAGTCGTATGCTGACAAGAGACGGAAGCCTTTGGAGTTTGCCGAAGGGGAGCATGTGTTTCTGAAGGTGACTCCGATTTCTGGTGTGGGTAGAGCACTGAGAGCAAGGAAGTTGATACCGAGGTTTGTGGGTCCCCATCAGATCATACGTGTGGGTCCGGTTGCTTATCGGTTGGCTTTACCACCGTCTCTTTCAAACCTACACGATGTGTTTCATGTCTCCCAGCTGAGGAAGTACGTTCATGACCCGAGTCATGTAGTGGACCTGGATGATGTGCCGGTGAAGGAGAGTCTGACCTTTGAGAAGTTACCAGTAGCTGTGGTTGATCATAAGCTGAAGGAGTTGAGGGGCAAGTCCATTGCTCTGGTGAAGGTGTTGTGGGATGCAGCTACTGGTGAGGCTACTTGGGAGGTGGAGCAGCAGTGCAGGGAGCGGTACCCTTTTCTTTTCCCTAGTAAGTCGGTTTTCGGGGACGAAAACTCTTATTGTTGGGGAGGTTGTGAGACCCTGGTTATTCTTTTCCTTTTCTTCCCTGAACACTCAACTCCCTTTCACTCTCAAAACTCTCTCATTCACTCCTTCTTCTCACATTTCTGATTCACTCTCTTTGCTTGACTTCAAGGTGCTGAGTAGGTGATTTTCTTCCAGAACCGTGTCGTGCGGAGCTTCTCATTCTTCCACTTCTCTTCTCCATTTCTTCCTCTTCCCGAAGCTCGGAATCTTTGCCCGAGGTAAGGGAAGTTAGTCTTCTTGTTGTGGATTTGGCTGAAATGAGTCTAAGAACTCATGTGGTTGCTTGTGATTGCGGATTCTTAGTTGTTTAGGTGATACATTGAGTTTTTGGGGACCTTGGGGTTTTGAGAAAATTCTTGGTTTTTATTTGACCGTAGATGCATGTGTAAAAAGAGGTTGTTTTTGAACTCTTGGATGAGAGTGTGGTACTTTGGTTGGATTGCATGTGCTGGAAAGTGGGTTTTTGCAGGTTTGGCCAAATTTTCGAACTTGGTAAGGTTGCTGCTGAGCTTCGCGCTTCGCGCTGTTCATCGCGCTGGGCGCGTGGCCACCAGGCCACCAGGGGACCCCAATTGACCAAGCTCGTCGGCGCAATGATGAGTGCACTGGGCGTGCTTGAGAATGTGGGTCTCTGGCTGGCCTGCGCTGGGCGTGACTTGGACTGCGCTGGGAGCGATACCAGTTGTAGCATGATTTTGGGTTCCTGACTCTGCACTGAGCGCGGCCCTTATCGCGCTGGGCACGGGTTTGGGCACGCGGGGTGCGTGAGGCTCCATGGAGTCTCTACTTGGCATGCGCTAGGCGCAATGGGTATTACGCCAGGTGCGGGTGAGCCTTGGGCTCTCTGGCTGAGTCCCGCCGGGCACGGGCATGCTTGCGCTGGGCGTACTGGCCCCCTGGTGCTCTCTGGTTGCATTGCGCTGGGCGCAACCATGAGTGCGCTGGGCGCGTAGATGAGATTTGAGTATATGTTGGTTAATGTTGTTTTATGCTGAGTTGAGTTGAAATGGATGAATATAATGTGATGACTAGTAGATAATGTTGGTTGATTGATGTTGAGTTGTAAAGTTGTGTTGTGTTGTAAGTTGATATGTTGAGTTGTAAAGTTGAGTTGTGTTGTAAGTTGATATGTTGAGTTGTAAAGTTGTGTTGTGTTGTAAGTTGATATGTTGAGTTGTGTTGTAAGTTGATATGTTGAGTTGTAAAAGTTGTGTTGTGTTGTATGTTGATATGAGTTGTTGTAGGCCATAAGGGCT